TAACACAAAAGGGGAAGCATGGCATTGTTCATTTGAAGGTCTCATGTTTACAACACAGAGTTGCATACCCTTCTAATTGAAAGCCCATGCTGGTACGGGAGGTACGATATGGTCGATTTCGATTTCATCCTGCTCCTCGGATGGTATAATTCCGTCGTTAGCGTCATCATTCATAACGTTGTCCATATACAAGTTTCTCAACGCTGTGAGCGAAATCCTTTTCTTAATCTTTATCCCTATGTCTGACAATTCTTCCTTCATATGTTCTGATGAAGGATAGGAAATACGTCGTTTTTTTAGGTGGCATGATATTTGTGTTTGTGATGAATAATCAACTTTGAAAAATATTTGAATCTCGTTGTGTCGTTCGCTACTTCGAAAAACTGAATGAATGATATCTTGAGATAGAATGGATGTTCAATTGTTTGAAACGTTGTGGAACGACTGTTCAGTGATTGACAATTACAGAGTGACATTGTGGGCGGAGCTGAACCTCCACGTATGGCTGGCCTTACTAACATTTATTTATAAACAATGTTTACAAAGTAAACACATATTTATTGATCAAATTGCCCTCCATATAATAAAATATTTGCTTATTTCACCAATATGACCGTACCTCACGCTTCGAGGCAAGTAAGTATTCAAAGCTTTCTGAGAAACACTTACACACGAATTATAGAAAGTTTAACAATTATCACTGTGTCACTTGAATATGGCAACTCCAAAGTACAAGTAGTTCTCGCACAAATAAATCTATTTATACATAGGGATGGCGTTGTCATAATCTGTCTCCATTAAAACGTGAATAATTGATTTTGTTAAGTGTGGGATAAAGATTATTTTTTATATTAGGAATGTGGGTTAATCAAAATTTTGAACTTTCAAAAAGTTAATACGACAAGTCTTTATATCATCAAAACTAAACTTCCGCTAACCAGGTACACTCCCCTCCATAAGTTTGGCAACCTTTGCTCCCCCATTGAACTACGTGTTAAAGCCTCTTTACGTTTGAATTTTTATTTACTTACTTATACAATGATAGTTATGCAGTATTTATAGATGTCACACACACCAGGTAACGGCATATTCTACATATTTAACTCACCCCTGGTATTATACAATGATAATTATGCAGTATCTATAGATGTTTCTCACACCAGGTAACTTCACATTTAGTCATCAATATTCTACATATTTAACTCACCCAAGGTTTTATACAATGACATATATGCAGTATTTATATACCAATGATAGCTATGCAGTATAGATGTCACGCACACAAGGTAACATCACATTAGTTCATCAATATTCTACATATTTAACTCACCCAAGGTTTTATACAATGACATATATGCAGTATTTATATACCAATGATAGCTATGCAGTATAGATGTCACGCACACAAGGTAACATCACATTAGTTCATCAATATTCTACATATTTAACTCACCCAAGGTTTTATACAATGACATATATGCAGTATTTATATACCAATGATAGCTATGCAGTATAGATGTCACGCACACAAGGTAACATCACATTAGTTCATCAATATTCTACATATTTAACTCACCCAAGGTATAATACAATGACATACATGTATATGCAGTATTTATAGATGCCACTCACACCAGGTAACTTCACATTTAGTCATCAATTATCTGCAGATTTAACTCGACCCTGGTATTATTTTTTATTTATTTATTTATTGGAATCACTTTTAAAGCAGTGGCACACACATTGAAAATGTGGTGCATCCACATACAAACATGCATACAATTACAGTCAAAATTAAAATACATAATGTCACTAAAATACATCAATCCTTATTATAGGGAATATAAATTGCTTTCAGATATTTCTTTACACATTGATCTAAAATATGACCTTGTTCATTTCCCCAGTCAATGAAAGCTTTATCACCCATGGTCAAGCATATTTTAATTGGAATATTAGCAGAAATAAGGCTAGATGACAGTTGTTCATTACAGGAGTTTATCACGTTCAGAAAGAAGTTAGTTCTTTCATTGTTAAAATGAGGGCATACAAACATACGATGCTGGATAGAGTCCTTGACATTCGTATCACATAAATTGCATAACCCATTACCTTGGCCCCATCGCTCCTTGTCAGTATTCAGACCAAAACACCCTGATCTTGCCTTGAATTTCAGTTTCTGACCATAAAAGTCAAAATCAGTCTTAAGGTAGTTTTCTTGAAAACAATTTGTTTTTAAGGAGCTGTACAGAACAAGAGAGGATTTGTCTGTAATGGTGTCTAGAAAACTGCTTTTGCTTCTTTCATTCGATATTTTAAGATATCCCTGATACCAGTCCGTGTCATCAACATGAATGGCTCTGTCTAACCCATGTTTGATCAAAATGTTATTGATATTTGAAAAATAAGGCCATGAACATTTGTCATTATGTGAAATGGAAAACTTCTCATACATTGTGTTAAAAATACGTTGATGTAGAGAACCTGGCTTGAGCCTACTTTTCTGATAAATAAAATAGTCAATTTGACGTTTTTCAATAACTTCGGTTATGTTTCTCCAACCTAAGTCACCTAAAATAGCTTCCCTAGCAGGACGGCAGGTCAATTGTAGTACAGATCTTGCCATATTATATTGCATGGATTTGAACTTATCTTGCATAGAGGCATTAAGTAAAAATATAGGGCAGCCATTTAATAAAGCAGGTAAATACATTGAATTATACATTGTGGTACCAAAATGTACTCTTTTGATGTCGCAATGCTTTGTTAAGGTTGCAACACACATACCGTTCATTTTCTTAGCTTTTGTTGCCAGAATACTATTCACATGGTAAGAATCTTTAAGTGTTCTATCAAAATAAATACCTAGATATTTGTAGTTTTGTACTTCTGAAAGTTCCAAATTACCAAGGATCCATACTTTATGCCTATCTATCCTTTTGCCAATGACCATAACCTTGGACTTTTTCGAACTAAAGTTAAAGCCCCATTTTAATGCAAAATTGTCTGCTACTTTTAACATTCTATTTAACTGGGTTTCGGATTCAGCGATTAAGACTATATCGTCAGCAAACAAAAGGGCTGGGACATTTTTATCTGCAAAAGGGATGCCAAGTCTTTCTTCCTTCAGGCAATCAGTTAAATCAGTCATTACAAGCGAAAATAAAGTTGGAGAGAGACAGCATCCCTGCTTTAAAGAGTTAGTTGGGCTGCACTCGAACCATTCACTGGAATTCAGACCAAAGATTACCTTATTCAATACCCCATCATAAAGCGCACGTAAAAGACGCCAGACTTTGCCTTGCACACCTTTTTCCCATAACTTGATGAACAATTTATCTCTGTTTACAACGTCAAACGCTTTAGATATGTCAAGAAATGCTAAATATGTTTTAAGGTTCTTGTCCTTTCTCATACTACATAAACCCTTAAGAGCAAAAATGTGATTTTCTAATCTCAGGTTTTCACGAAATGCACCTTGAAGGTCGCCAAGAATATCATTATCTTCAAAAAAGTACAGAATATTCTTCTCTATAAGAGAGGTAAAAAGTTTATATACATTTGAATTTATTGTGATACCCCTATAATTGTCTAGGAGTTCTGTGTCACCAGCCTTATGTAATGGCTGCAGGAGACCCATTTTTGATGAACTCATTCGGGATTTGGTCAATACCAACAGCTTTACCGTTATCAAGCTTCTTAATACACCGTGTAAGGTCATCAAGGTCAAAGGTGAAGTTAAACATGGCATTGTCAGAAAAAGTAGAACTTGACTCTAAAATGCCCAATTGCTCTTTAAGATCAATGTGCGTAGTGTTAGGATTTATGTTAGCTGTGCCAACACTTTTCCAATAATCACCCAGCATCCGGGAAATGAGCTTAGGGTCAGTGATAGTAGTCTGAGGATCATTGGGATCTTTAATTTGAATTGGATGACCAGCCCGTGCATTGAACATAGTTAGAGATTTCCAGTATGATTTAGAATTGGATCGCTTCTGTGCATTTTTTTGTAATACATTTAATATGATTTTGAATATGACGTTGCTTAATAGCGTCATGGACTTGCTGTTTCCGTGTTAAATACATTTCCCATAATTCACTAAGGATATCAGGGTCACAACATTTTGATCTACTCCAATATCTGTGGAAACGACATGCTTGTTTACGGGATCTGATGAGATTTTTAATCTCGTCATCCCAAAAAGAGCGCTGGTTGACAGACACTGTTTTAGTACCAATGGTAGACATTGCTGCATCCTTAACATACTTTTTCCAGTGCAACCAGGCATCATTAACATCTGTATACTTAGAAATGTCCCAGTTTTTAAAATTACATGCCAAATTATCCTTAAATAGTGACCAATCAGCATCTTCAGAGAAATCCCATTTAGTAAAATCATTTACACACTTATTCTTATGGTGGTTTGGTTTGCTGGGCTGAGTTGCTAAAGATGCATGGACAACTAAGAATGCATGACTACTGCCCACAGACACATCGTGGTCTTCATGAATGATCATACTTTTGTAAATATCTAAGAATGCTTTGTTGACAAGTACATAGTCTAACGTTGATGTAAGATTGTTTCGTGCCCATGTTATTTCGCCATTGCATTCTTTTGTTGTATTCAAAATAGTGGTATTAGTGACCTCACTTAAAACATCAATCAATTTTCCATTGTAGCTATTTTTGCCATGGGAAAACTGTTTAATGCGTCCATTGAAGTCGCCCATTAAAATAATATATTCATTGCTTCTACTCAATTCATTAATAATACATGCAAGCTCTTCAGAAAGGGCTTCACTTATGTGCACATTCTTCCCATCATTTGGAAAATATACAACGCCAAAGTTAAAAACATTATTATACAGCTTGACCTTGATCCAGTACCTTTCAAAAGTGTCATCATTGGATTCAAGCAAATTATCATCGCATATAGTTACATTATTTTTAATAAAGAATCATATACCCCCACCTGATCTATCAATTCTATTTTTACCTAGCCAGGTGTAATCATCATTTGATACATTTAAAGGGTTACGATCACTGAAAAAGGTTTCACAGACTCCCAAAATGTCAAAATTTTTATCATTGAGAAGTCCACTAAGTTCATTTTGTTTTGCAAGTCCTAGGTACTCTACATTATTAAAACCAATTTTTAGAGGCATATTCGCAGCCTGTGTAGATTTACGTGCACCTCTACGTGTACGCTTATGTGTCGTAGTGTTGGGTTTAGGGCCATGGGTGAGAGCGTTCACAGGGGAGAAGGCGATATCCTCACCAAGTACCTAGTATTGGTTTTGCGCATTGTTGGTGTAGGGGTTTGGCTGGGCATTGTTAGTACACCTAGATTGTTTATGGCCTATCCCCTTGCATTTGTAGCAGCGTACGGTGCTGGGGTGCCAACATGTGTTGGCTAGGTGGCTAGATTCGCCGCATTTGTAACAGTGAGGTGCATTGTTTGAACTCCTGCTTTGGCCCCTAGCTGTGACATCATTCTGCTGCTTATTTCCCCTACTTGTAACGGTAGTCCAAGATCGTTCGGGCTCTCTAGCGCGTTGTATAATGTGCTGAGGTTGGGGTACTGGAGTAGTGGGATGAGCTGGAGAAACAGCGGGGGTTTCCTCTGGTGGAATGGGTGTATTCTGCTTAGGCTTCCTTTGCTTGGGCTTAAATGGCTTGGTAATATCTTTTGCCTTGGTCTTTAATCCCATGTTGATAGCAAGGCGATTAGTCCCGGCCTTAGAGAGATGCAGACCATCGTATAAGAGGAAACCTTCGTTAATGGCTCCATCATGTAGCTTAAAGGTGGTGTCATTGTTCACGAAGATTGTATTATCATCCTCACATATCACTTGTAATGCTGCATTAATGGACTCTGCTTTCTCCTGGGCTGATGGCTTGTCAGTTCTGGGGCAGATACTGGATACAACCACTTTGGATGCAATGTTACTGGCCCCCTTTATAAGCAGCTTAAAATCGTTGACAATCTCATCTGGTTTGGAAGGTTTGGTGCAATCGTTGCTCCCTACTTGTAAGTATACAGTATTATATTTTATCTCCAAGGATGTCAGCTTTTTATGTACAGTGTCTATGTCAGCACCCCCTATGGGTATGACATCAGTGTTGACGAGCTTTGAGGGGTCAATATCACGCACTATCGAGCTTCCAATGATCAGATTATTAAGTGTTTGTGGTTGGCAGTTTGCATTGGTTCTAGCCTCTGCCTTGGCAGCACTGAGGTGTTGGCGAAGACTTTGGCATTCTTTATCAAGTTCAGTACATCACACTGTTTTAGAGGCAAGTTGCTTCACAAGGTCTTCATTAGTCTTCTGTAAAGCAATGAGTGTTGTATTTGCAGTGTCCATGCAGCTTTTGTGGTAAGCTTTAAGATCCATTATGGCATTAAGGTTTTTGGCACAATGATAGTTATGCAGTATTTATAGATGTCACTCACACCAGGTAACTTCACATTTAGCCATCAGTTATATGCAGATTTAACTGATCTCTGGTATTATACAATGACATATATACAGTATTTATAGATGTCACCCCATTATTAACTTACCCTTTCAAAACTAGTACAATTTGAAATATAATGTCAAAAACACTTCTTTTTATACGCAAACAAGGTTAAACAATGCCTCATTTTATCAATAGTTTCTGAATGGTGGTTATATGATCCGACAGAACCACTTCAAAATAGTTGACGTAAGTACAGGATGGACAAAAAAGTCCATTTTTTGTTTCAAGAATTAATTCTTAATGCATGGATTTAAATAATTTTGCAGATGATACAGAAATAACTTTTTCAATTGTTCCTGGGATGGGATAAATAAATCTATGAGTAAGATGGAAGTAATCTAAGTAAGATAAAAAGCTGCAGTATCAAGAAAAAACATGCATAATTGGAAAAATATACCTGTACAGTCCTGGCACTTTTCCAAGATCATCTATTTTTGTGGTAAGGAGGATCGGTAAGGTACTAAATTGAGGCCATTCAATGTTCTTTAAGACTCAAACAAATATTTTGCAAATCCTCCTTGTGAAAGAACATTTTTCTCATTTATTTTTCAATTAGAATTTGGCCTTCTAGTTCAGTTTTTTATGTTGAACCAGTTCATCTATTCTTATTGGTATCAATTCTCTCCAAATACAATTTCTATCAGATATACAAATTTCAAAAATATAAGCACCATGCATAACATTTTTTATATCAGCTTTTATTCATTCGATTGCAATTTGGACAAATAATTTGTTATTATTACCACCTTGCCGGGCCAGTTTTTTGGGTTTTAATGCTAGTTTAGAAGGCACTCAGTTCACTATATCGACCTGAGCAATATGTGACTTCATGGTGGCGGTCCATATATGGCCGGTCAAGAATACAATTCATGACCGGCAATTTTCCCCGGGAAATTAGATATCGTTCAGTGCGTAAGATTTTGTTGCTGTTTCAATCCTGGTCATTAACGGTGGTAATAATACTAATAACGTCATTTCTGCGGGAAATATTTAGCAGTTATGTCCCTATCATTGAATATATGCCTGAGGTCTGTCACCAATATAGCCCGAGCTTGCGAGGGTTATATTACGACAGACCGAAGGCATATATTCAATGATACGGACATAATTGTTGTATTACATACTTTTATATCATGGCTACGTTATATCAATGACGCCACGTGTCTGTGTCCCGATGACGTCATAAGATTGTCATGGTAAAAGGTTTGGCGGCTATACAGGAATATATAGCCGACCTTCAGCTCCATTGACTTCAATACAAATGCTTCGCTGGGTATGTAATATAGTGAAATATATAGTTAAATATATTTGAGAAAGTTATTCCGACATTAGAAGGTAACGTTGTTTAGGTCGCCCTGTATATTGGCTTCTGAATGAGGGAGAGAATTACGCAGTTTGTTTGTAGGCTACGCCCGGGAGGCTACGCCATCTCACCGTTTGGGACGCTGACGAATTGCAATTATTTCTTTGTGACGGCAGCGCCGCATTATTAAATGTCACTTTTCAAACTATCTATTTTTGAAGTCTTTTACCTTTTCCGCATTTGTGCATACATATCCATATTTTGAAAAAAACATGGGTAACACAATACAATCAGTAGGGTTCTCATATTCAGAGAGTTCACATTACATGTATTGAACATGTTGATGATCAGGCATAACATAACAGCTTGGTTTTCGAAGGTTAAATTCTTAAACTTGATGTCTATTTACAGTCATGTAAATTGATAACTTTTTCTTGTTATGTTGATATAAGGCTTTCGATTGTAAGTTAACCTTGGCCTTTTCTATCAATTTTTTCTATACTAGATTGAATCAGTGTGGAAACCAAATATTGTTGTATTGTACAAAAATACGTTCATAGTATAAACTATAGAACTGAAGGTATGAAAAATGTGTTTATGAACAATGTTCTAATAGTTGGTATCAGAAATGTATGGATAGTAGGAGTGGTCTGGTCTAACATGCCAAACTACATTCATTATGTACATATTCACACATCATTATCTTATACGTCGTAACACCGGACGTTTACGACGTTAAACCCAGTATTTTCGGCGGGAGATTTAAAAAACACTAATTTATTTTGACGTTTTGACAGAATATGGTACTTTCTCTTTCGTGGTAACATCGACCATACCATGCAGATATACTGTACCTCTTGTATCACTGCGTCTCAACATTTCTCAAACCTTCTAGAAAGCATGACCATATTCTGTCAGAACGTCGACATAAATGAGTACTTAGAAATCTTACTTATACAACGTCGTAAACTTCCTGTTTTACGACGTATAAGAGAATGGGAAGATCTGATTTTTAGTCCCGATCACGACAAATGTTTTTCACAGATCGGGATATGATGAATCGAAGTTACACTGTCACGTAATTTTATAGGGCTCGCGGGATATTCACGAAGTCAAACACCTTTATCCCGTATGAGCACTTTGTAGCACTGAGCTACGGGACAGTCAGGTTTTCAAACCCACTGTCCCGTACCAGCGCTTGGTAAAAAAATTTGCTGCGGGATAAAGTGATTTCAAAACTTGACTAATGCTGATCAAAGTATATGCTATCAAGCCATCACATACATGTATCTCTATGTAATTACCATACTACATTAACCCTTGCAAAAAATTCCATTTTTCATCTTTGTACTGAATTATATCAACATCAGTCTTTTATCTTTGAAATGTTGCTAAAGTTTATTGGGAGGGGTGGCATGTACACACTTGATTCAAAATGCTATTGTTTGTGTGTGAGGGGGGGGGCATCTCCAGAGTTGACTCACATCATGGTCTATAAGAATCACAACTGTCACAAATCATCATTCCATCTGGTATCATTTAAATATCCTTGAATATGATTTGCAGTATGTACATAAATCCTTGTGTGCCATCCTGTATCATATATTATGCCTATTGTTAATGTTGCATATGTCTTTTTATTTTTTAATCAGCTAATATATATGTATATAAACACTGGTGAAGTAATGTGGTCATTCCTCAAGCCCTCCATATCATTTATCATCCTAATTGTTCATATGTCAACAGCTCCTTCCAGTGAATTAAATAAAAGTTGTTCTTCACGATAAATACCGGTGAAGTATTGTGGCAATTCCACATGCAATCTGTTTTTCCATCTATTCCCTGCTGTTATTCCACCATATTCTATCTATATGTTTTTGACATGCTGATTACCCATGCCATACATCCTGAAATAAGCAAATAATATTTAAATTATTTTCTTTTCTGTATTGTGCCTTTTGTTCATTTATCATTCACTTATGTCCAGTAAATTGAATAAAGTACTAGAAATATGCAAACTCCATAGTGCAGTAAATGCCAAAGAACACTAAATTCATGAATCTGTATGTCACATCATAATATTTATCATCTACCCTACCCTTGATTTGCAAATATTAAACACAAACATTAAAATGTTACATGTATATCAGAATATTCACCAATTAAAGTATTTGGGTGACCATTTGTACTAGATCATTGGTGTGGCGGGGGGGGGGGGGGGGGCACGATGGGTGCAAACCCTCTTCCCAATAATCAATAACAAAATGGCTCCATTACTTTTCGAGTAAGAATAAAAAGAGTAAAAAATGGTGGTCATTTTGAAAAATGGCTGCCTTTTACCAAAAGTGTCAATAGACAGTGTGCCATGCTTATAGTATTCACATACCAAATATGAACAAAATCGCTCCACTACTTTTCAAGTTATAGTAAAAAATGTAAAAATGGTCGCCATTTTTCAAAATGGTCGCCTACTACCCAAAGCGTCATTAGACAGTGTGCCATGCTTATAGTATTCACATATAAAATATGAACAAAATCGCTCTACTACTTTTTGAGTTATAGTAAAAAATGTAAAAATGGTCACCATTTTTCAAAATGGTTGCCTACTACCCAAAGTGTCATTAGACAGTGTGCCATGCTTATAGTATTCACATATAAAATATGAACAATATCGCTCTACTACTTTTTGAGTTATAGTAAAAAATGTAAAAATGGTCGCCATTTTTCAAAATGGTCGCCTACTACCCAAAGTGTCATTAGACAGTGTGCCATGCTTATAGTATTCACATATAAAATATGGACAAAATCGCTCTACTACTTTTTGAGTTATAGTAAAAAATGTAAAAATGGTCACCATTTTTCAAAATGGTTGCCTACTACCCAAAGTGTCATTAGACAGTGTGCCATGCTTATAGTTTTCACATATAAAATATGAACAAAATCGCTGTACTACTTTTTGAGTTATAGTAAAAAATGTAAAAATGGTCGCCATTTTTCAAAATGGTCGCCTACTTCCCAAAGTGTCATTAGACAGTGTGCCATGCTTATAGTATTCACATATAAAATATGAACAAAATCGCTCTACTACTTTTTGAGTCAGTATAGTATAAAATGTAAAAATGGTCGCCATTTTTCAAAATGGTCGCCTACTACCCAAAGTGTCATTAGACAGTGTGCCATGCTTATAGTATTCACATATAAAATATGAACAAAATCGCTCTACTACTTTTTGAGTCAGTATAGTAAAAAATGTAAAAATGGTCGCCATTTTTCAAAATGGTCGCCTACTACCCAAAGTGTCATTAGACAGTGTGCTATGCTTATAGTATTCACATATAAAATATGAACAAAATCGCTCTACTACTTTTTGAGCTATAGTAAAAAATGTAAAAATGGTCGCCATTTTTCAAAATGGTCGCCTACTACCCAAAGTGTCATT